TAATCGTATTATAATTTCTAAACAGTTAAAAATCTTCTTTTTCAAACAGTTGTGAAATCACAACTTGGAATCTAATTCTATAATTTTTTTATCATTGAATATCTAAAAATAAATTTGCTATAGCTCCTTTTATCAATATTTGTCTTGTTTTATATAAAGCTTTTAATTTGTTTTTTTTTTTTAAATCGATGTTCAGCAAATGTCAATGAATTTACACTGAGTTTGTGGAGACTATGCGAATGTACATGCTTGAGAATAGCCATTAACCTCCTTAGGTAGAAAAACCTCTCAAATCACATTTAATATACAAACAAAAAAATACACACATCTTTGCAACACGTGTCCCCACCTGTGACACGTGAGGAAAGATGCCTGCATGCGACCACAAGGGTCAGCGCAATGATTGAGTTTTATCTTATCAGCTAACATTGCAATTGATATTTATAAAAAGTTACACTTTTCTATTCTAGTTCATGCATCTTTATGAGTTTTACTGACAGAAAAATGTGGAATTTAATTTACACTTTATTTGAGTTTACGGCCACACAATCAATTTTCTTATACAAAGTTACTCTAACAGTTCTATAAAGTATTAAGGGAAAATTATTGTGACAGACTCATGTTTTTATTTATTATGCACATGTGCATAGCAATGGGTATTGCATGTGCGTTTATTTTTTAAATCAATTATGTAAATATCTTTATTTGCAACACACTTCTACAGCTGAATCGTATAATTATTCATTTAATCTGTAGTTAAGTGTATTGACTTTTAAATTGTTCTTTTCCGGAGAGGTACAGCTCTAATTATATTCTGGCCATGGTCATTATGTATCTTTTAATTTCACCTCCAAGTTTTCTTTGTATCGTTGGTTAATTCTGATTTAGCAATGGTAAGTTATGGTCATGTTTAAGTTCTGTTGTGCAGCCATTATTATGATATAAGACCTTTGACATTGAGACTTACATTTCTAATTGCATGATAAGTAATTCTTTAATACTAATGAGTAATATATATTATTCTAATTTTATTAAATGTGAAATCTGTAATTTTGCACTTAATTCCTTGAATCACTTTTCCTGGAGTAAATGAATAGTGAGAGTGAGACTGTAGATACATGTATAAAGTTTTGTGTAAATAGTAAATTCATGGATGTCTCACTTGTTCATATTTTTCAAGTAAACTTTATTTCACACTTAGAATAGATATCTACAAAGTTGATTATTGTTGATATGATGATATTGATTTTACCCTACCTGTAAATCTATTGTGTGTAGCTTATATTGTGCTGCCATGGCCAATTCCCATTGAATGGTATGAATGGTATTGTTTTGTTTTTTGTTTTGTTTTTTTTTTTTTTTGTTTTTTTTTTTGTTTTTTTTTTTTGTTTTGTTTTGTTTTTTTTTTTTTTGCATTACAATATGTAATGATGTACATAAACATTGTCATTAAGATAATTGTTGTTAAGTTTTTATGATGTTTATTGATTAAAGAAGTGGGAAATTTGATTGTGTACATTTCATCATTGGATTACCTCCCCTTAATATTGATTGTAAATCAATCAATAACTCTATTTTTTCATGCATTCTAGGTTTTCATGCTGAATATTTATAATTTGTTATTTCATTACAGGGTTTCTTTTTGACATTGCTTTTATATCCATCAATAGAGAGACCGTCTTGTTAATACTCAAACCAACAGCCTTGTTGTTTATCATCATCACATTATCTCAACACAAGTCTGTTACATTATAATCGAATCAAAATTTTCTAAAATATCTATCATCGGGAAAATAAGTGTAATCCAAAACGTACAAGTTTCCTGATATGGGAACTGGGTGGAAGATAGTAAAGTTTATTTGCAATGTTTTTCCATGTGGGAAGGATGATGGAAAACACGTGATGGCTGTTTCCTGGTCGGGAATATGTAAGAAAACATTTGGTGCGTGATTTCAAAGTGTCCCATCTTACGAAACTTAAGGGAAACCACGGGTTAATTTTTTCTATTACGGGAGTGTACGTGGAAACCAGATAGTGGTTTTCGAAAAAAAAAAAAAAAGAAACTATATAGAAAGGTGTGATCACAATTCCCATATGTTTCCATCAAGTTTCCAAATTTGAGAAACCTGGCTTTTCACCCTGTGATAGGCATTTTCATTGATCTGGTTTCCATACTCTTTGATCGGGAGAAAAAATCTCGGAAATAGTTTGATCACATATGTGTGAGATAACCGTGAGAAAGTCATGTTGTATTAGCCAACAGCCAACCTTGAATTGCTTTTGTGCGGCAAGAAAATTAAATGAAATTTGTGTTGTGCATAATATTAGGATGTTTTTATTATTAAATCATACATATCAAATGTCAAATACAATATATTATAAAATATTAATTTTGAATAAAAATTAAAATACCAAGGATAAAAGAGGGGAAACCCCTGAAAAGATAATTTAACAAATTATTAGGAAAAAAATCCGGCAAATTTTCTGAAAACTTCTGTTGAATTCTGGGTCTGGAATAAAAATAATCTCTAAAGAATGTTGATACCTTATTGAAATTATATTTTCAAATTCAACGAATAATGAAAAGGCAATTAATGTAACTTTTTTTTATCAGTTTAACTTTTTAACGTTTCTTAAAGTTATCACTGTAGTTAACTTTAATTTACTACAGTACTTTTCCAGTTTATACAAAGCAGATTAGGTCAAAACAAACTTTCTGGAATGTTTTCAACACCAGTTTTCTTGACGACTAAAAGAATATTCAAAGGAGCTTCTTTCCAGAAATCATAAAATAAAGTTTATTTCACATCAAGAAAATAGTTACCATGCTGGGAGGTATTTTTGTTTGTCCGTCAATGTTTCTGATAATGAAATAATAAATATATAAAGATCAATATTGCTTATTTTGATGATATGATGAACGTTACATTTTTTTCAATTTGAATTGAAATAGGCAATTGCAAGCTGGAACAACAAACATATATCTAGCATCACTCTTGTTGCATTCGATTTCAAAAGACAACATTCAAATCACCTCTTAGATTTTCAAATATTTAGGCAAAACTTTAAACTTTTATTTTGTTTGCAGTCATAAAACTGCACAATATTGTATTCGCATATTTGCACAAAGCAAGCCATATTTTACAATTAATGTTTTTTTTTTTTTTTTTTTTTTTTTTTTTTTTTTTTTTTAAATAAAAAAAAAATCGTGATATCGAAATTCAATATACAAAGTTCTACTATGTGCTTAACCGGAATGTTACTTCTGATAGAATTAGCTTTCACAATCAGTATTTAATCACAATATCAGCAAGCATTAACAGACATAAGCAAGCATACAGACAAACTAGCTTAACCATTAACGAAATCAGCATAAACGTTGCCAGTGAACATCATCCGGGCACAATTAAATCTCTACTCTTCCGTTTGCTGCAATTATTGCTGATCAAGATGAGCATGTGCATACGAGGATATTTAGAGTCGTGCAGCTACATGAATTTTCTGTAGATTTTACGTAGATCGTATTTGAGTAGACATGTAAAATTGCGTTAATAATGCATCATTCATAGCTCTTTTACATCAACAAAGATTGACTCTTGCTCACAATCCAAGGAAGCTGAAAACTCTCTGTGAAGAGTTCTCATTCAATTGTAGTTTCTTACAGTTAGGTTGATTTGCCATTTGAGGACCTTCTTCAGGTAGATCATAAAAATTCCATACAATAATACACACTTTAACAAAATGTAAATACTAATCAAAAAACAGACAAATCACAACACTAATAATAAAAAAAAAATCAGAGCATGCTTATTTCAAATGGTCTGTTAACTGTCTCATATGTACACCAGAAATGATCTTCAAAAAATACAAAAGCTATTACACAATCACAGAGTCCATCCGTCTCCACTATAAGAAATATGTAAAAAAAAAAAAAAAAAAAAAAAAAAAAAAAAAAAAAAAAAAACTTCCATTCATTTTTTTTAAGTCTTCAAAGGCATTGCTGTAATAACCAGTTTGATATCACACATGAGAATCAAGGAAATGACAGCTTTGCAGGCTGGTTCGTATTTTTACAAACTCATAAGACAGTTTATCCAAAGCACTTTTTTTACATACAAGGCTCTCATATTCATTTTCTAGATTTTTAAGTAAACATCTTCCATTTTTTATTTCCTGTGGGATGATCCTGCTAAATAACTCTTTAGATATTTGACGGTATTGATCACCGTATTTTTGGTCTAAAATTTTTTTAACCGTATCCTTAGTGATTGCATCTCTCCTTGTTAAAAATGACTGTTCAATGACTTCTCTTTTTGACAATTTTAGCGTTTCAAAAACACCTTTTGCGTACTTATAGGAAAGCACCATGGCAACTGCCGCACCAGCAGTGCATACTGGAATACTACAAAGAGGAGCCAAAATAGAAAATGATAAAAACCCGAAGCCAAATCCATAAATTCCACTTTTTAGAGCGTCCGAAAATAATGTTTTAAGCATTTCACTAATGTCAAAATTCCTTGACGCCCCTCCAAATTTCTCTAAAATTTCCTCCAATTCTCTAAGAATTTCCTGAAATTTGCATTTTATATTTCTGTCTAAATCAGTGATAAATATATCATCATTCTGTTCAATCCAGCCTGAAATAGCCATTTCAATTCTTTTGGATATCCAAGCACCAATCCTAAGTTGAGAGGTACTTTCTAATGTCGAATCTTGGCAAAGAACTTCATTTTGAAAGTCCGTTGATTTTATAAATGTCATTAATTTTTCTCCGTGTTCTTTTATTGCATTATCCAAAATGTTAGAGCAGGTATCTAAAGTCTACAATTGAAGTGAATTTAATTAATTAATCTATCTATCTATTTATATATCTTATATTAAATTATCCCCCAGTTTGTATGAATGATATCGACAGAATATTAAAAAAAAAAAACATGTATAAAACAATCCATCTAGATCTGCTTTTCAGTAACTTACAGTTCTGCTCTTTCTCTCAAGGTCTTCCAATCTTCTAAGACACTGCTCTGAATCAGTTTTTAAATCGGGCAAAGATTTGCTTGCCGCAGAAATTCTTGAGTTTATAAACATCTCTAATTTAGATAAAATTTCTGCCAGAAATCTAAAATTAAAAAAAATGTTGACAGGATTTTTGACACATCTTTGTAGAGTAAAAGCGCCAAGATAGCAAATTTAACAAGCAATATGAAATTGTAAAAATAAGCAAAGAATGTATTTTAAGAAATCAACCAAGCGTGTTTATGTATGTTTGCATGATACTACACGACGAAAAAAAATATTTGAATACCTGTGATTATTTTCTATTCTTTTGTTGATGTTTTTATCAACGAGGAAATGCAGGAGTTTTTCAAAACATGAAAAATTATTACTATACTTCTGATCTTCCTCGGTCACCTGTTGGATACAAAAACCAAAAATGCAAATTTGTCTAAATATCACGTCGCAATAATTTCTGGCATTTCTCAATATATTTCATTAAAGTGTAGTGAAGCAGATTTATTGTAAGAAAAAGAAAAAAAAATGTACCAGTCTGACAGACATCTGTATAATGTTGTCAATATTCACTTTTGGCCAAGAGTTCTTTATCTTATCAACAACATCATGCCACTGTTTTTCAGTAGTCCTCCTTTTTTTTGTCAAACATTGCATCCCATTTATTAACTAGGAAAATAACATCAGCAGGATCAAAGCATATCATCGTATCCGCTTTCGCCTTTATACTCTTCATGACTTTTAATATCTGTAATGAATATTTGTTTAAAAAGATCATAATTGTACATTTATTGACTAGTTTCGAGGACAACATGCGTTTTGTTGGACCCAACAAACTATTTATTTCGAATTTTCGGGAAAATGCATGCTGTTCGAGAATCCAATCAATAAATGTTTTGTTATGCTTATTTTTTTTCATTTATCAGACGTATATTATAAAGGCTTCCATGCTTAAGGTAGTCAAGGAATACGACAAAATTTTGTTATAGGTTTTAGTTACTTGCATGGAGGATTAAACATAGCTGATACCGTCTTCTTGGAGGAATAAAGTGTGGGATAAAAGAAACGTAATAATTGTCCTCCATTTCATCGATTCACATCTCACCGAGTAGTCTAATGTCATTTTTGACGGATCAGGAAATATTGTGAATATATTTTTTTAAGCATAGTTTTATATGGGAAACAATATCTCACATTTTAACAATATTCTTTACATTTAAATAATGTCTTCCTATCATGATAAATCATGTTCATATGGTCCTTTTTTACCTGTGATTTCATAAGCTGAGAAATTAAGTTGTGTATTATAGAAAATCGTATGCCTAGTCTAAAAAGCAGTATTGTAAAAGATAACTATTTGCATTCTGTAAATGTACAAAAATTATTTGTATGGAAATCGAATTTCCTTTGATCTCTCCTTAGATACCAATGCTTATTAACATAAAATGAAATTGGAGTGATCTGTGAAGTCTTGCAATGGTATCACAGGAAAGATTACACAATCAATATGTACAGGTCCAAGCTGACAAAGCGGGAAACAATATTGTCTTTGTTTGTGAAGCTCATTATTTTTATTGTATTTTTGAGGAACGTGTTCAAATGGTAATACAACTTATACACATAGTTTTCCTTCTAAGGAGGAATTTCCTCAAAATCTTATTTCAGTTTTTAATATTTTTAATTTTCCCATCAATGAAATTGATTTTGAACTACCATACCTATACCGGATTCCTAAACTAAAGAAAAAAAAATCTTTACAAACAAAGATAAATAGTGGGTTCCCTTTAATATTCTAACAAGCCTCTTTCTTACTCTACAGAAACATATTTACTGCAGTGAAGGATTAACTTCAAGAGAACTGTGCAGCAACGCGTTTAAGAAGCGGTGTTAATCAAATGTGGAAAATAAACTATAAGAAAAATTAAAATCACAAAGGAACATCCTCTATGTCTGCTTTTCAGATTACAATGATCTTAAATTTTCAAGTAAAAACTATTTCCTGAAAACGGCATGAAGCATAAAGTTAATAATCCAATTTGATATTTGAGAACCTGTTGGTTAACGATACTATAGTATTTTTTTTCATGAAAACAGGGTCACGCGATAGAGTACTTTCGGTCCAAATTAGCATAAGAGTGATAGGGAAAAAGGTTGGTATGGTAGAAAACATCATCTACTCATGTCATAACCAGCTTTTACCAAAACTAAAATTTGCATTAAAACTCCTCATTAAAGGACAAAGTAACTATCACCTTATGAACTTGGCTAAAGGTGGTTATGGCATCTAGATAAAAACTTTTCTATTTCTATAGTATTTCACTTCCGACACATAAGTTAGTTCAAGGAATTTTTTGAGAAGTATGTTTTAGATATCTATTTCTATAGCACAAGCATGACTCAAAATCGTAAAGTAAACTTTGGGTCAGTGTGCATCTTTCTGAGCGATAGTACAATTAACTTGACCATTTTTTCACTTAGATTGTAACATTTAAGTTAATTACTTTAACAAAAAATTATATTTTACAAGATGCAATCATGGCAATTGATATAATCTTATTTTATTTCAAATAGTTGGAATAATATTTATTATTGAAAAATTCCTGAAAATTTATGCGCGTAAATAATTATATGACCTTTTTTGCACTCAAACAATATCATATTAGGGTTATTAAAAATCTAATTGGGCAATATTTCTTTTTTATTGTATCAAGCTTTCTATGATTTTAGTGCTAATCGGTTGAAAACATCATGTTGTTTAAAATTATATGAGAAAAAATTGGGGCTAATGATGTAATTTTTTAGATATTGGTAAAACTATGCGATTTTCAAGCAAAAAATAAAGTTTTCTCTTGACTTTTTTAACGTTTCTTCAATTCCTGAAAAAGTCTGTTGAATAACGAAACAATTTTCTAAGTAAATTATGTAGGATTAAAGTTCCAAGATATTAAATTCAATAAATATGTCAATTTGAAGAATTTTTTCATGAATATCCTTCCACCTCAAGAAATAGTCTCCTATAGATCTTTTTTTCTTAATGATTGTGTGTGCAGTTTTGAAATTGAATACTGTGTAATTTGCATTGTTTAATTCAAATATGTTATAAAAATGAATTGTAACAAATAAATTGGAGGTTAAGGTTCTGACCAAACTTTTCCAATCATCTGACAAATGAAATACCTTAACGATAAATGCAGGAAAGCTAAATACTCATGATGAATTAAAAGATTATCAGATTGTGTAGATTATTTTGTATTATGTACTTCTAGTTAAAGTACATCTTTCTGTTGAGATGAAGAAAATTAATATATTCCACGTTATTTTCACTCGAAAAATAATGCTCTTTTTTCAAAAATTCTAAAATCAAAGGAATGGAAAGACTAGGTATCATTAATATGCTACAAGACGACATATTTTATAGAACTGTCTGGCACTTTGGAGCTTGAATACTGTTCGTTATCTCCATATATTTCACTGAGAAGAAAAAGAAACGCATGGTATCATAATATGCGAAATACTTTTAACTGAGTGGCCGAAAAATTATGAAAATTGGTCAGAGATGTATTTTGTTTACCGGTACTTTGTACTAAATTGCATGTTTAAAATTGATCAACCGTGAAATGTTTGACGTCGCGTAGGAAAAGTGTTAAAGCCAAGAACACATGCATATTGATGATGTCAGGTTTGTTTAAGATTTAGTATTACTACTTGATGCACTGGAAGTATACACATCGTTTTTTTTTTTTTTTATATATTTACAGTCAAAATGAATTTCTTGTTATCATGGTACGGCTGACGGAAGTTCCATTGGGTCTAGTCATTGAATTGCCTACAGTACCGACCAGACACAACCTAACACCAGAGCGAATCCAAAGCGAACACCGGGTTCGCTCTCTGGGTTCGCTCTGGGTCCGCTACGGGTCCCCTTTCAGAAATTTTGGGAGCGCTCTGGGTTTGCCTTGGGTGCGCTTCGGGTTTGCTCTGCGTTCGCTTGGTGTCAGCTCTGGGTCCGCTAGAGCGAACCCGACGTTCGCTTTCTCATGCGTGAAGCGGACCCCGCTTAAAAGTTCACCGCCAATAAGCCCCGCCCATTGTATATTCCAAATACAGCAGTGAATCGATCATTTTTGTTTTTGTGGCGATCGAAACATGTACATGTAAGTGACAATGTGCAGAACGTTGATAAATTTTCCAAAATTTCACCATACATTCGACGTAGAAATATCACTTTTATTTTTCTTAATTAACAGGTATATCGCAAAAAAGGAGAAGAAGAAAAGGTGTTAAATTTATTTTCGATGTATATGATGGAGTGAAATTAATAAGAATATCTTAACAAAAAGCTTTCAAATTCATTTGTTAACATATTTCATGCGTGAGTAGTTTTAAAATCAGTTGGAACTTCCTATTGTAGTTGCAGTTACTAAATCGTTATTTAAATGTTTGAAAGACAAACAACTGAATTATGATCTTATCTATGAAATAAAAGAGACATACTGTATACGTAAACGTTTCATTTTTAGCAATCAACATTTAAGCTAGTCCATTACATGTACATGTAGGTCGTGATAATCACTAAAAATTCTCACACAGTGTTACCTCGTTTTACAAATCATTTATAATTTAATTCCATGATAAAAATCATTTTTTGTGAGGAAAATTTAACGGAATTTCTTTTTTAAAAACCTAATAATTGTTCTCCTGATAAGAATATATTTATTTAATTTTTTTTTAAGTTATTTTCAAAAAAATGATCATTTTAAGAGTTTATGTTCCTTACTGGTTCATGACAACCCCCCCCCCCCCCAACACACACCACCACCACCACCCAAGTACATACATACCGTAGCGACATGTTAACAAAAAAATCTAAATGTTTAAAAATGAAATAAAATACATAAAAGCAAGAAAGAAAACAAACAAAACAAAAAATCAATTACTGTACACTCGCATGATTAACTAGATGAAGTTTAATAACGCCCGATGATTTTTTTATCCCGCCCCTCATACTCGAATTGTTTTCTATGGGCCTGCTGTAGCAATTTTAATTTCAATTAATATACAGTGCTCCTCTCTCTCTGTAGTAAAACTATTTTACTGTATCTGAAATTGATCTCTTCGAACTCTGCTCCATGTTGTTGTTCACGTTTCTTACAGCATTCAGGTGGCACCAAATTACTTGAATATGTACTCCTTATGTAATGTACCAAAGAACTATCTACTGACGTTTCCAAATTCAAAATCCAAAAAAATTGATTGGATTTCTCATTGATCACGTGCCCCGATGAGGAAATTTTAGGAGTTGAAAGGGTTTATGGAAGGTTCGAATGTAGGTGGAGTATATTCTCAGGTATATCCTGACCATGGAGACAGTAAACATCAAGCTCGCAAGTGTCAGTTAAAAAAAAAATATCGCAATTGCCCTTTGCAACCGCAATATCTCCTAAACAGGTGGATGATTACCGACACGCGATGACCCTGGTTTCATTTTGAAACTATCATTAAGTGTTAGAATTAAATAAGTTTCAAATACATGTACCTATGTAGGGGAACGTATTAAAGTATTTTTGTAAGTTCAATTTCAATTTACAAGGTACAATGTGCGCGTCTGGTTTTTTTTTCAGTATTTCGAAAACTACATGTAGCATACGTAAGAGGTTCGTGTACATGCGCACCTGTACATCGACGTGAAAGAAAGTGATAGGGATTTTTGTTGTGGTTTTTGGACTGACTTTCAAGTACATGTAGGTA